TGAAAGAAACAACAAGTAATAATTCTTTTAAAGCCAACAACAGCCTGAATTACTGGCAAGTCAAAATGGCTATTCATTTTCCATGCTCTGGTACTGTGGAAGTGGAAGGACAGGAAAGAAATATCAGATTCTCAGTGGCAGAACTATGAAATACCTACAGAATTAATTTTTAAAATGAGCAAATAAGAACAATAACTCTGTTATTAGAGCTGAAGAAAGATGTATTGCACTTTCACTAAAGATTTCACTAAAGAACAGGAAAACCATATAGATGAGATCAGGCTATGAAGACACAGTTTAAACCCTATATAATTATTCCTTTTGATCAATATAAGAGCTTAGAGGGAGACTATTAATTGGTATATGATCACACTAACCTATCTAGCTGGATCTTGTGAGCTTGGATAACTGAAAGATGACCATATCAAAGGTTTGTCTTAGATATAAGAGATCCTGCCACGAGAGTTCATCCACTGAGAAAGGAGAGATTTACTCTCAAGAAAGATATCAACATGTGCAGAAGCTATGAAACTGACAGTCGCTAACTAGGCAGTATTAATGGGAGAACAAGAAATGGTTTCCATTAGACTGAGAGACATTTCAGGCCAAATAACAGCAACAGGTTAAGAAAAATGAAGAGCCAGTCAAAATAACAAGCTAAAGGTCAGGATATCAATATTGCAAAGGACATCCCACAAAATGTACAAGTGTGGGGAACACAGTTATTTAACTACAAGGAGCTGAACCACTTTGCAAAAAAACATTTGGCTGGTGAGAAGCAAACAAGCCTAGAAATATAGCCAGAAGTCACACAACATCAGGTTATAGCACAACAGATTTAGTTGAAATCACGAGCTTTTGTAGCACTGCTTGTTGGTCAGGTGAGGTGGAGAACTGGAGAGATAGCCACTGATGATTCTGATGACTCCTTCACGCCATATAACAGGTTGGTGCATCAGGTCTACAGAAGATAAATGGATTGTGGCTGGAATGATGATGAGCATTCAATGAATGAAGTATCAGAAACGCATCAGTGCTCCATGAAGCATTATGACTTTCACAGTAAAATTAGGGTAAAATTGCTCAAGATAGTAACTTCAATATGGAGCCCTCAAAAGTAAGGTTGAGGATATATGATGGAATGATCTTCATAACAAGAGGACAAATGAAACTGGGAGTGAAATGCAATGGGAAGAAAAAAAGTCAGAATTCCAGATAGTAGAATTAAGAAAATCCATCCATCCCAGCTGAAGAAAATTCAAAAACTGGGTTTGGAAACCATATGTACTAGAAGAGAGTTGCAACATTTTGCAGGACACCAAGCATTGACTGTTGCACAGATGCTAAACGATAATACAAATCTTTTATCTATCAAGGATGTCTTCCCAGTTATTATCAGCATGAAGTGGTTGAGAGTGTGAGACCATCTCAGTATCTGCCAAGGAGATTTCCAGCTGCCTTCAAGTCCAGCCTGAAAGTCCAGGTAGAAGAGTTGGGAAAAAATGGAGAAATAAAGTGACAACTCCTACAGACCGGATTAGTTACATGGTAACAGTGGAAAACCCCAGAAAACTGCGAGTAAGCTCAGGTCCCAGGCATCTTACTGAAGTTTAGACTAGATCTCAGTACCCCATGCCAAATAGTGAAGACATTTTGCCAAACTGGGCCAGGCAAAGGTCTCAGTGTGAAGGATGCTACTGTTGTGTGAAGCTAGGCAAAAGCAGCAGTGATCTAACTACATATTGGATTCTCTTCAGGAGATACAGATTTTATTTTATCATTTGGCATTTTCACTGCTCATAGAAGAGTAATCAACACAGCCAACACAGGATCAACAGTGATCTTCCTGGAGTGAAAGCCATTGCATATGATCTGCTAATCTATGGATGGGGAAATGCTATGGAAGAAGCCATCGCAGACTATGATCAGAATCTAGTGCAACTGCTGGATAGACCCCACCAGATAAACCTGAAGCAGAAAAAGAAGAAGGAAGTCCTTGGGAGAGCTATTTCATAGACTATTCAAATAACAGCCTGATGTAGCTGGAATCACAGAATTGTGCCTTACAGATAATGTCCCAGACATCACCTTCACCAATGCTGGATATGTTTAGTTACACTGGCAGGACAGTCCCAACAGAGGTGGCTATATAGTGTTATACAGTCAAGAGGGAGTTGGCTTGACAGTCCTCAACATTGACTCCAACGAAGTCTCACGGCATCAGGTCAAACATGAGTAAGGAAACCTCCCGCTAGTACTGCACCGCCTCCTGGCTGATGAATGTTGAACACATTGATCCGGATTGATTGACCTAATGCAAATTAGTGTGAGTGAGTCTGTGATATCAAATTGTTGTTGACTATCCATATGTTCAAGGACCTGGATTCTGAGTTGTAGCCGTGAGTCTTTATGAGGTGAATCACATGTTTGTTTTGGCTTTTTGTGAATCACGTTCAGTTTTTTGGAGGATTTTTCACCTCAAGGCCTAGCGAGTTCTCTTGCCATATCTTCCTAAACTCACTTCATTAATTACCTACCACATTCCATGGTGTCGCTCATATCTGATTTCTGCCCCATTGTATTACATGACATTCCCAGAAAATCATCACTCATTGGATATCCCCAAATATTCCAGCATTCTTTGAGGCCATGCCATCTTTGTGCACCCGGACAAAAATTGTCAGACCAAAGCTCCCTGCACAGATCCTGGCATTTCCCTTGGCATGGCTGACAAGGGTAATTCGGTGCCCTGTTTTGCAGTCCTAGAAGTCTTGCTGGAGGGCCAGGAATGGCCATCTGCACTCAGTCAGGCTAAGGACCACCAACTTCCAATACTCACACTGTATCTCTGCTACTGTACCCACCTCCCATCAATGCTCATCTTCCCCATTCATTGTCACCCAGCCCAATGACCAAAACCATTAACCCTGCATGCCCTCCGTGCTACCCACTCACTTCCCTCTCCACCTGCACCACAAGTAATATCTGTGTCACTGACTTTGACCTGCAAATGTCTCATTCCAGTAGGAAAACAGTCAACAATAGCACAGGATGAGTCAAGACAGGTGGTGTACTGTCCATCATTCAGCTCTTTACCCCTTATGAGAAGGAGATTTTGACTATGACAGATATCAGAGGATGTCCTTCAGTTACTGTGCCACAAAACACTGAGCAAAGACTATCGCATTAATTGAGGCCTGCTGACAACCATGATGAGTTTCATGACTTTGTATCTGCACTAAATGACAAAGCAAGATAGTGGTAATATGAACCAGGTACCTCTGGTTGAGAGGAAAGGTGGGGTTGCTTTGAGCATCCAGATAGGCTCCCAGTGATTTTCACTATGGCAGTGAGCAAACATACAGCCTGGTGCAGTTCATGGGTTGGGTATGTGACTCTGAGCACAGTGTCCTTGCAGCAGCATTGCAATAATAATTGCCATTGCAGTGCTGAAGGACAAAAGCATGGTGTAAGTGGGTTAAGGAGGTGTGCCATGAGGGTTCTTAGAGGTTGGTGCATGTTGGATACCAATGTCCATGGATGTGTGGTGCCAATGGAGTGTGCCCTGAAATGTTGGTGCCCAGTTTCCAGGTTGCTCTGAGGAAGCGGTGAGCTGAACGTACCAGATCCTCCCTCGCTCTAGTTTCTTGGTCAGGTTTTCCTGATGTCGTGTTTGTTTGGTGAGTTTGGTAAAGATGAGAGGCTGAATATTAACGAGGTCAGTTGGGACATTAACAAGGCATTCAACTGTCAAGAACCACCATCAATTGGCATCTCACTGCTGCCTGGTGAGAAATTCAGCATGCTACTTGTGAAAAGCATAAATGATAGCGGGTGTCGCTTCTGATGTCAAAATGGGTCTCACTGCATTTGTCACACAGCTCTGCCATATATCATGCCACAGCCCATATTATTCAGAACCCTGTAGGATTCCTCTAAATAAGCCAAATATAGACACGCAGATTTTTGGGCAAATTGAGCAGGAAGTAGCCCCAAGTAGTGTGATGCCAAACCATATAAGGCTATGGGCCAAGGGTTAGAAAATGGAATTAGGATAGTTAGGTGGTTATTTTTGAAGAGTACAGGCTTGATGTGTCAAAGGGGCTTTTTCTGTACTGTAGGGCTGTATGATCCGGAGTACAGATTTACTTTGTTTCTTCCCTAACATTGTTGTGCCTCACCGTTACAGTGTTTGAACTCAGAGCAGAATGCAACTTGCTGGACAAAATGTCACATTTTGAATAATTGGTAGCAAGCCCCTCTCAGTCATTAAACACAATAGCGCTGCACTTCAAGTCAACCTTCAGAGTGTCTTTGAACCATTTTCTTTGCCCTCCCCTTAATGTCGGTTATGTAAGAGTTGAGACAACAGGACCTGATGCACAAGATGTTTCTCAGCCAACCAGGCACATTCACTTCACCACTGAATTTGATTTTTAGGAGTTTTGCCTCAACACTTGTCTGTTGGACTACAAAACAGACGTTATGGTTTGTCTGACAGTCCTCCCACTGGATCTGAAAAATATAGTGGTATGATTTCTAATGGAATTTCTCTAGCATTGTCATGTGTTGCTGATAAACTCAGTACAGGAGGCTGGCGGTACAGAGGGCCATGCTGGTATTTGCAGTGAAGTGTTGGCGGGGGGGAGTGAGGGAATAAAAAGCTCTACTGGTGTTTGCAATGTATGGGCTGGTGCAGGGGGCTGTGCTGGTGTTTGCAGTGTTGGGGCTGGTGCAGAGGGCTGTGCTGGTGTTTGCAGTGTAGGGGCTGGTGCAGAGGGCTGTGCTGGTGTTTGCAGTGTAGGGGCTGGTGCAGGGGGCTGTGCTGGTGTTTGCAGTGTTGGGGCTGGTGCAGAGGGCTGTGCTGGTGTTTGCAGTGTAGGGGCTGGTGCAGAGGGCGCTGCTGTTCCACGATACGCTCTGGCTGTCAGATACATGGGGACTGTCCCTTTAATATCTTGGCCCGGAGCAGGATGTGCTGCTTATTGGTTCATCAGGGAGCGACGTGTCTGTAAAGATGGCTTCAGAGTGTTCTTGCTCGGAAAGAAGCATGTAGTTTATAGTTGATCCGGAGCTCTGGGTGGTAGTGTGCCTGGCTTTGTTCCGGCCCCTGCAACAATCCGATGTGGTTAAAGGGACCTGAGTTTTGTTTCTGCTTCCTGTACCTCGCTTTTTATTTCACCAACAAGGTGAGCTAGTTTGGAAAAGGTTGTGAGCAAGAAGCACACTGAACTTTCACCAGCACTTTACACCTCGGCTCAGTGCATCTCAGCTCCATCACCCCGGCTCCTGCAGATAATGTACAGACTGTGTCTCTCTGGTGGGGAACGGGGTGAGTGGATGCTGTTCGGATTTAGACATCTCGATTCTGGTGGTAATTACTTGGACGCTCATGAAGATGCTAAATTGATCTATGTGGTGCATTTGGAGTTGGGGGGGTGGTGGTGTTGAAATTGAACGCAACATTTTTTTGTTTCAGAAAAAGGGGTTGGTGTTAAGGGGGCGATTACTTATTTTTGGGGACATTTCATTACAAAGTCATAAAGTGAGACTTCTTAAGTGAATCAATAGCACTGAGGAAGGATCTAATTTTCGTGCCTTGTTTACAAATTACAATCAGGTAATCGAAACTGTCACTAAACCAACTTGCAAGTATTCATTGTGTAATAGAAGTCAACTTCCTACAGGGACATGTATCCTAAACCAGTTGTTTTTTTGTTAGCTTGTGTTATCATTTCTGGCATGCCCCACTGAAATAACGGCACAGAGACTGGTATCCTATCACCAAGTCACTCATTATTTACATGTGCTGTGACCAGCTAGCTCAGAGCCAGTCCTCAGACTGAGGAGATCTGCTGAATATCTGTCAGCCAGGGGTCTCTGATTGAGGCTTTTAACCTGGGCCAATCAAGACTCTTGCAGTCAATAAGATCCACCAGGCCTTAGATCCAATCACTACACCCATCATTTGTGTCAGTCAGAGCAGAACCATCCAACCGAGCTCCTCCATCGAGTTCTTGATCTGTGCCCTTCAAGGATTTGACACTTTGGGTGCATTTTCGTTCCAATGCAATGAGGATTTTTGCTTTTACCAATTTTTCAGGCTGTGAGGGCCCGGGTGCTTCCCACCCTCAAGCCCCTGGCTAGCCCTTCTACCCGATATTTAATTCTAGGCACCTTGTTATTGATGTCCCCCTTTAAAGGGAATAGATCTTTCATAAGTACTGCACATGACCCTGTAATGTGTATATACCTCAGTTAAATCTTCACTCAACTTCCCCTGCTCCAAACAAAAGAATCCCAGTCTATCTGGTCTTTTACTTGCAGCTTGTGTTCTCAGGTCCTGATAGTATGATTGTAAATCTCCTCTGTGCCCTCTCTTTTGTGACTACACACTTGGGCAGCACTCAGGCTGCAGTCTGATTACTGTTTCATATAGCTGTACCATTGGGCCTTCCTACTGTTATATTCTATGTCAGAAAGGTAATGTAACACATCGGCCTTTTTGATCACCTTCTCTACCTTTCATGCTACCTTTGGAGATTGCTAGCCATTTTTAAAAGTTCATTGGTTCCTCTATACTTCCTGTCACTTGCTGTAATATTCTTTGCTTTGTTTATCATCAGCAAATAACACGATTTCTCACTTCTACAGACTGAATTCAACTTGACGCTTTTATGTTCACCTGATCATCTTTTTGCAATCTACAGCTTTCTTCTCCTCATCAATCACACTGCCATTTTTCATCTCATCTGTAAATCTGTTGGTTATCGCCCCTGTATTGAACCTAATTTATTGATCAAAGCCATGAATAACAAGGCCCTAGTATTGCGTGAGCGCTGTGGAGGAGCACTGGAAACAGCCATCCAGCCACAAAAGTGGCCATTCACCCTAAGCCTTTGCTGAGCCAAATTTGGAACCAATTTGTCACTTTGGATCTTATGGGCTTTAATTTTCTGAGCAATCTGCCATGGAACCTCATCAAAAGCCTTGCTAAAATCCAAGGGAACTATCTCAAATGTTTGTCTTTGTTACTCCCTTCAAAACTTGGAACAGGTTTAACCCGTCTTGACCTTACCTTTAAAAGTCCACGCTCACTGCATTTGTTATTTAGACTGCTCATCTTGACATTCGTTCCTGGATCAACCACTGTGTCTTTCAGTTAAAGGGGAGCAAGGAAATTTCCTTCAGTTCTCTCTATAAAGTCTCAGCTCCTCATTACTGATTCAGTGTCCCTCCCCAGCCACTGCCTCTAGTTGAATTGTTTGTTCTTTTTAATTAATTCATAGGAAAACATGTGACTGGCAAGCCCAGTGTAGCTTGGCACTCCTTACTGCCCTTGAGAAAGGGTGAGCTGCCTTTGTAAGTACAACTGAGTGGCTTAATGGGCAAAATCGGAGGGCAGTTGAAATGAAACCACATTGTTGAATTCACATGTAGGCCAGGTCAGTAGAAATCCTTCCCTGACTGACATTAGTGAAACAGATGAGTTTTTATGATAATTTAATGTTCACATTAGAGACAATAGCCCACCTATTCTGGATTACCATTGACTGTGATTATCATTTTGATCTACCTAAATGCCACTTTCCACACTATCTCCTTATCTTTACATTGTATTTCAGATCAATTTCATTCATTGAATTTAAATTCCTCACTTTTGTGGTGGAATTTGGTTAAGTCATTAGTAAAGTCCTCTGAATTATTGGCAATTTGGAGAAATTAAGCAGGTTTGACAGCATATGTAGAGAGAAAAACAGAATTAATATTGAATTCAATATGACTGTTCTTTGGAACTGACGAGAGAGGTGGAGTTCTTAGTCCAGTAATGTAACTACTAGACAATTATACTGAATCATGCCATTGTTACATCTAGGCTTAACCAGTCCAATGTGGTCTTGGGCGAACTCTACCTTCCACCTTCTGTTATCTTACGCTCATCCAATACTATACACTCTATGCAGTAATGCTCACCAATTTCCATTTCTCATCAGATCCTCATCCATCAGTACATCAACTTTAAACTTTTCATTTTCCTGTTTCAATCTGTCCAGAGTATTATTTCTCCTGAATTCAAACCTCTTCCTACACTGAGATTCTTGAAGAAAAATGGCTTCCTTCAAATTTGGCTTTTTATGTATCCACTATTTCTGTTCCTGACTCTTGTATCTAGAATAACCTCCCTAAACCTCTCTATGCTGCTGCACCTTTAAGATTCTTCTTAGAATCAGCCTCATTGCCCAAGCTTTCAGACACCTTATTAAATATTTTCAGCTTTACTTTGGCATTGAATTTTCCTTTGAACTGCCTGCGACGTTTTCCTCTGTTTAAAAGCACTATATGTGTCATTGATAATTGTGTTTGCTCAATGCTGAAAAGATTATACTATTGATGTGTTCTTTATCCAGGTGTTATCTACTGTAAGCATTAACAGCAAGGTCCATAGAATAATGAGCTAACAGGCAGATATGTAACAATGAGTAAAGCTTGTGGTTAATTGGATTAGTATGTGGGCATTGCTTCATTGGTAAAACTTGCCCAAAGGATCTCGGAATTTGAATGTCTGTACTTCCAGTTTGTGCCACTTTAAATATTTTGACTTAAAATTTTGGTCTGAGCATAAGACAGAAGTATCTAATTGATTTTCTTTTTCCCCTAGTATGTCCTTTCGCAATTGAAGTTTACTTATCCCACAATTTTTCAAGGGTGAGTATCTACCTCCTGTAATTTTGGAGCATTTAGAACTGTTGAACTGACCCATAATTTGTTGTGAATTGTAATTACTTCTCCGTTCCCTTTTCTCTTTTTACAGTTGGCAGACACTTGTGGGAAGTTTATTTCTTCAGACTGCCTGGAAACTAGGAAGGGTGGAGATCAGGAAAAATGTTCTATGGTAAGGAAATTGTGGTAAAACTATTTACTCCAACTAAAAGCACGTGCTCCAGGCTTCAGATCCAGCAATCGCACAGCTTTCACCTTTACTGCCTGGACTCACTGATTTAGGCTAAATACAAAAATTGCAATTGAACTTTAAATACAAACTCCCAATTCCGAGTAAGCCATTGGATTGTGTCAAACCAGGTGCAAGGGGGTAGTCCAGCTGTTTGTCTCTGGACAACTTGTAATGGATAATGGATTCCAGATGTCCCACATCTTGCGAATGAATTTCAAAATAATCTGGTGTAGCTCACCTTGTGCACATTTGGACAGCCAGAGGAGATATCTTTTTCTTTATCAGAGAAAGATACATTTTTTTCCAATGGGAATTTACTTACAACCTCCCAAAGTTACTCCGACCAGGTTGAAACCCCAGACTGACTCCATAGTGGTGTTTCTGTCGGCCTGCTGAAGTGATGGTGGCTTGATAAAAACCGAAAGAGCTGCGGATGCTGTAAATCAGGAATCAAAAACAAAGTTGCTGGAAAAGCTCAGCAGGTCTGGCAGCATCTGTGAGGGAAAAAACAGAGTTAACGTTTTGAGTCCGGTGACCCTTCTCAAACTTTTCTGTTCTGAGGAAGGGTCACCGGACTCAAAACATTAACTCTGTTTTTTCCTTCACGGATGTTGCCAGACCTGCTGAGCTTTTCCAGCAACTTTGTTTTTGTTCCTGACGGTGGCTGGAAATTATTTTATACCCTCATGAATCTAAAAGCTGAACAGTTACTAACCTGGGGACCAAAATATTGCTGGGAAATGACTTCAAAACAGCAAAGTGATGAAACGAGCATTGTTAATGAAGCGATATTAGCTCCACGCAATGACGTATCTAGGTATATTAAAGGAATAAGATTTGATTTTGTAGCTAACCATGTTATTTAAACTTTGATAGGTCTGCCAAGGTTTCCTGGATCCCTGGTGCATTACTGTTTGTGGGTAATATTTATGCAGGTTCCCGGGCATTATCTAAACTGGTAAGGATTTTTCTTTGGTCTAGGAAGGGGAGCTTTGGGGTGAGAAGGATGACTTAGATGAAGTGTTTTGTTGGACATTTGCAAACTACGTTAAGGCAGTCTATTTGTATTTACAAATGCTGTAGTAAAACTTGCATTTAAATAGTGCCTGTCAGAGGGGCCTGCCGAATGCTTTGTAGCTATTGAAGTACTTGAGAAGTGTAGTCGCCGTTCTAAACGAGGTGGACGATTTCCACACAGCAACAAAAATCAAATTTTTAAGTGTTGTACTTTTATTAAATCACAGTGTTTTCAATATTGTGAAACTCGAGCTGAAGCGAACCGCATCTGACCACGTCAGACATTCTAGGTGCTGATTTTCCTGATGAAAGGCGTTATGTAAATGCAAGCCATTGTGGTTTGTGGTCGAAAGACATGCAGTGGATGATCTCATCACACCTCACCAAAGTTCACATCATCCCTCCAGGATGGATGGGTGCCAGTGCTTGTGGCTTGTATTTATGGGCCTGCGTTTGGGACTTTTGGGAATTGGTGCTGTCGCCTACCTGGTTTGCCCATCAACATGTTTATCAGAAAATCAAGGGAGCCATACCCATAGTTTTCTCTCCACCAAAGTAGTAAACATTGTACCAGCATTTCCTGGCGTGCACATTACAAGGGTGAAGCTCCCCACCAGCAAACATAAACTTGGAACATCAGGAATTAAGTTTCATTCTAGTGTGTATCTATTGTTGATTCACTTGTGGGTTTGGAAATGTTTCTCAGTGAGTTGGCACAAATGTCACATTTTATGGTATGTCTTTTTATCCAGCTTTGGTGAGTTGGGCACTGAGGAAATTCAGACCGCTCAAATTTAGAATTGCAATTTTAATATTAGTTTCATGATATAAAGAGTTAATAAGGCCCAAAACGTCAGCTTTCCTGCTCCTCTGATGCTGCTTGGCCTGCTGTGTTCATCCAGCCCTGCACCTTGTTATCTCAAATGTATAAGGAGTTATTTCCCAAAGCTGAGAGTCTTGTCGTATGAGTGTAACGTCTCTACCTCTGGCCCAGAAGATCCAAGTTCAAATCCCACTTTGGAATTGATGGCCACAGAGCTGTGTCAAACAGGTTGACTGAAAAAAAAAGTCCCAGAGCTTGGTGCAGAAAGCTAGTTATGTGAAACCTGTCCAGTTATAGTGCTGGTATTTTATTCAAGAAACACATTCAAGCTTGAGTTATATTGTAACTTGCATTAGAACATGCCTAGTAAAGTAATCAGGTTAAAACATGCAATCACGCATCAGTGGTGACAAAAACAGACAAATTCAGCAGTTACAGGAAAGTAGTGGACAGGATATTTTACAAAAATTAAAAACCAAAAGAACTGCGGATTCTATAAATCAGAAACAAAAACACAAATTGCTGGAAAAGCTCAGCCGGTCTGTGGACAGAAATCAGAGTTAACGTTTCGGGTCAAGTGACCCTTCCTCATGTTCTGAGGATGGGTCACTGGACCCAAAATTTTAGCTTTGAATTCTCTCCACAGATGTTGCCAGACTTGCTGAGCATTTCCAGCAATTTGTGTTTTTATTAAAAGAAAATTTAATATTGAGTTGAAGTTATGTTAAAAATATAAACCAATTCACCATTGCTACCTTACAGGCATGAATTATATGTAAATTTCATCATTTAAGTACTAGAGATATAAAAGCATTATGATACAGAAGTAGACTATTATGCCCATTGTATTTATGCCAACCCTTGTAGAGCAATCCAGTTGGTCCCATTCCTGCTGTCTTCGTGGAGCCCTGCAGGTTTATTTCGATCGAGTGCCCATCCAATTTCACATTGAAATAATTGATTGTCTCTGATCCACCACTCTTACAGGGAACAACATTTTCACATTCCCAGCGTATCACTTACCCAAAGTCTTCTATTCCTATTTCTGCTCACTTTTGTAGTATTAACTGATGGGGACAGTATTACTTTGTCCAACTTCTTTTTAAAAAATCATAATTTTCTACATCTCTATCTGATATCCCAGTTTCTTGAACCCCATCTTGGAACCATTCTTGTCAGTCAACCTCCTCTGCATTAAACCTGCATTGAGTGAAGATAGCCATTCTAGGTTAACGGGATAATGAAACATGTGCTGTCTACGCTTCATTCTGAAGAGAAATTGTCTGACATTTTGTTTATGTCTTGGATCATTGTGATTTTAGGCAACCAGCAGGAAAATACTTTCTGGAATCTGAACCAGCATGATTTTAGAGGGTTATGTTTAAAAAGGTGGTCTGAAGTTTAGAGGCAATTCGCACCCTTGTTGTCTTAATGGGTAAAGAAGTGTAGGAAAAGGTACTGTTTTTATTCTTTGCTGAGGTGTGAGTGTCATTAGCAAGACCAGCATTTGATGTTCATCCTTAATTGCCCCTTGAGAAGGTCATGGTGAATTGCTGCCTTGAACCACCGCAACCTATCTGGTGTAGACATACCTACAATGCTGTTGGGAAAGGAGTTCCAGGAAATTAACCTAGTGATTGTGAGATAGAGGTGATTATAGTTCCACATCAATGTGGTGTGTGAATTGGAGAATGACTTGTGTGTGGTGGTGTCCCCGTGCATCCACTTTTTTTGCCCTCTCAATGAGCAATGCAGAGGTGTGGTTATGTTAACTCCTGGAAATGGTCATTGCCTGGCATTTGTGTGTCACAAGGCTGACTTGCCACTTCTCAGCCCAACCTCAAATGTTGTCTGGGTCTTGTTGCATATGGACCCAAGACTGTTTCAGTATCTGAGGAGTCTCAAATGGTACAGAACATTGAATAGCTATCAAGTGAGGCCTTGTCTACGTATCTGACCTTATAATGCTGAAGGAAAGGTTATTGAAGTAGCTGAAGATGTTTGGGCCTAGAACTCTACCCTGAGGTAATCACTGTAGATGTTATATACTGTTCACTTATGCATTTCATGCAAAGTAACTGGTAGTTGGTTTGAAGTTCATCCTGGTAAAGTGTCTACTTAGGCCATGTTCCATAAGGAGGGAGGCATTTGTAGCTACACATGTGGTCACTTTTAATAGCCAGTGAATGGAGAACGTTTCTCTTAGAATTCCTGGCCATCCTATTATTGGGCACATCTTTAATCGTAGGGGAACCGATACTTGCTTAAAGTAGTACCTTACATTGTCGATGTGGACTAGTTGGACCAAAGGGTCTGTTTTCATGGTGTATGATTTTATGAACTGTTGGCTTTTTTTGGTGTCAGATCCTATTTCTCTTGTTCCTGCCAGTGGCATCCTACCATCCACTACTTTCATCGCTCCCACCAGCTTCAGGGAAGAGTCAATGTTACAAAATAACAGTGCATCCCAGGAATAAACATGATCTGGTCATTGCACTGGCACCATTTTGGGTATCTCTCCTATCCTGACTGCTGTGTCCTCCCGACCGGAAATTCTACAGAGCTGGAATTAGGCAAAGAGAACAATACGAATGCCAGACGTCGCCCCACCCACCACTGACGATGTCACTAACTCCGCCCCCACAGCCACCAACTCTACACCCAAGCCCTGCCAGGTCTTCACCATTCTCCCCCTGACTGATGATGAACGGTCAGTCCTTCAGTAAAGGACTCGCCTTCATCTCCCTCCACCCGAACATCAATGAATACCACTCACGCTTAGACGTCGAACACTTTCTCTGCCACCTCCGCGCTCATTTCTTTAACCGCGAGTCTAACCCACTCTCCATAGACCCCTTCTTCCACCTCCAATACACCCTATCCTCCTGGACACCACCCAAAAGCCTCCTACCCTCCCTCGACCTCTTCATCTCCAACTGCCGTAGCGACATCAATCGCCTCAACTGCTCCACCCCTCTCACCCACTCCAACCTCTCCCCCACGGAATGTGCAGCCCTCCGCTCCCTCTGTTCCAATCCCAACCTCTGTATCAAACCTGCGGATAAGGGAGGTGCAGTTTTGGTATGGCGCACTGACCTTTACATCGCCAAGGCCAGGCGCCAACTCTCTGACACCTCTTCCTACTGCCCCCTCGATCATGACTCCATCCATGATTACCAAAACATCATCTCTCAGCCCATCCATAACCTCATTACCTCAGGTGACCTCCCACCCACAGCCTCCAAACCTCATCGTTCCCCAGCCCCGCACTGCCCGTTTCTATCTCTTTCCCAAAATCCACAAACCCGACTGCCCTGGCCGACCCATCGTCGCTGCCTGCTCTTGCCTCACTGAACTTATCTCTGCTTACCTTGACTCTGCTTTCTCTCGCCTGGTCCAGGAACTCCCCACCTATGTCCGGGACACCACCCACACCCTCCACTTCCTCCAAGACTTCCACTTCCCTGGGCCCCAACACAAAAAGCCCCTTTCTGAAGAAACGTCAACTTTCCTGCTCCTATGGTGCTACCTGTCCTGCTGTGCTCCTCCAGCTCCACACTGTGTTACTTCTGACTCCAGCATCGGCAGTTCTTACAGTCTCTCACTGAAACCCTTGTTCATGTTCCATTACATACCGATTTTGATTTTTCTCAACAATCACCAATCGAGTATGACCCACGCAAACGCTAGTTCATCAAAGATTCTGCACCTTCACCCCGAAGAGATGGTGATGTAGTGATAATATTCCTGGGCTGGTAGTAATTCAGGGGCCTGAGCTAATGCTTCAGGGACACAAGTTCAAATCCCATCACAGCAGCAGGAATTTAAATTTGTAAAATCTGGAATTGAAAATGCTCTGTCCTGGTGATTATGGAACTATCATCGGTTTGTCGTAAAAGCTAGTTGACTAATGCCCTGTAGGGAACGAAATCTGCTCTCCTTAATAGGTTGGTCTACATTTATCTTCAGAAGCACATTAATCTGGTTGACTCTTAACTGCCCTTTGACACGTCCTCTCAGTTCATGGATGATTAGAGATGCCTTGTTCATACTGGTTTTCCCTGTCACTGCTGACTCCAACCATCTTTCAGCTTGAAAATATTCATCCCTGTTTACAA